ATTATAGAGGTACAGTGGCATAATGTGAACCTCTGCTTATCCCTTCGGGGATAAAAGGCGTGATGTACGTCTATAAATTGAGTACTACAGATATTATCAAGTATAAAACAAAAGTATGTACAATATGTATAAATGAGTAACCGACTACATAATGAATGAATAAATATCCGAGAACGCGGAAAATGAAATAGGTATCGGAAAAATGTATTTGTTCTCAAACATTGGGTGTTTACGTTTTACTCTGAGATTGTCTACAGTACGTGTCTTGGGACTATAATTAGCATTGCTTAGCTCGTGGCTTAGATATAGCTAAAATAAAGTTTGAAAAATTACCTGCCAAATGTGCGTTTATACACAATCTCATTTTTTTTTTGATGGGGGAAAATCTTCCAATAACTTCTCCCGCCCGGGTGAGGCGAGAAGGAGTGTCAGACTCTTACTGACTAAAAACTACCCCGTTCCTACTCCTGGACTTCGAACCGGAGCCCCGGCAACCCGTTAAGTCTTCCGCGGCTCCTACACACACTCCTACATACACAACCTACTCTTTTTGTATGGTATAAGCTGGTAAACGAGCAGGCGTATCACCTGATGGTAAGCGATCGGCGTCGCCCGTAGACACCTGAAACACCAGAGACATTACAAGTGCGATATCACGTTTACGAATTGGGAATTTGACGATTGTTGGGGCTGGAGACTGGGGAAGCGGGGGGGGGGGGGGGGGGGGGGGATAATTGGTTCTCTGGTAACCTCATTCACATAAAAAGCGAAGATACTCTTTCCGCGGGTATCGTTAGATCCCACTAACTGCAGTTTTTACGTTTTTAGGTAACACATACACAAAAAGATGCCAATGTTTAATATATCCATTTTATTGTCCACAGATATGCAAAGAGTACAAGTGGAGGTCTGACGCGATGTGTAAGGACGGATGAGGCGCCGGCGCGCGCTCACGCGACGCGCAACCAATCAATATGTCGTTCTTTAATAATCTTAAGAAGGTATGTACTATAGATAAGTCTATTTTTTTATTACAGTCACAACACGGTTGAAAACAAAAACCAATTAAAGTAACTGGACACATTAATAAAATAAACGATGAAATAATAAAACTAGAACAAAACATACACAACGAACCAGAAGAGTAAAATTTATTTAAAAAATGGTACCTTTCATAAGTAATTCCTCTCGCAGTACTTCAGGCATTCTGATAAAATCTCCTTCCATCCGTCCGCAAACAGATCACTAGTTGGATTGGAATCCAGGAGATCATTGAGCGCGGCCAGAATGCGAGGAATCGGTGCTTTAGCACGTACGACCTGAGGGTACGGCATACAATCTGTGCTTTTTACCCCGGCAGTAATTTTCTGGAACGTAAAAACGTGATAGTGACTCCAGTATGTCTGGAGCGTCAATAGCGCCACGGAGGGTTTTACAGGCTTACTACAAGTCTAAAATGTATTGTTGTACAATAGAAACACCCCCTATTGCATGTCGTGTCATCTAAATACCTTTTTTGGCCACCCTGAACCTGTATTGAAACTATAATTTTATTTCAGTACGCCCTCTATTATTGTTAGTTATTCAAATCAAGTTTAGCAAACAATGAATGCACTATCAGGACATCTCTGCTTACCCATCAAGTTATAGTATAAGAATTATAAGTCCTTATGTCCTTTGTTATAACAAAGGTAACAGTTAGTACACAGCTGAGTGAAACGGATTCAAAGTCGTTTTTAGATGACCCATCTAATTCCAAACCTCGGTTCCAGGTGCTGCACCTAGGCAGCGGCAATGATGCGAAGAAAAAGAAGGTGTTTAACAACATCCGCGACAACAGCGACCCCTCGGAGAACTGGGATATGGTCGGAGAGCTTGGAGATGGAGCATTTGGCAAGGTAGAAGGCTTTTAAGAATTTTAAGTATGCCCCAAAGAGCCACCAGACTACCATATTTGTGGCCCAGTATGACTGATGTCCGATCCGGAGCTGCGAACTAACTAGCGGGTTACCGGGGCTCAAGAATATCTCTCTCGCACTCTCACCTAAGGCGGGTGACGTCATTAGATAGTTTTTCCCTTAAATAAGAGGAGTTTTTGTGTGTAAGAGCCATGCTTCGGCACGAATGGGCCAGCTCGACCGGCGTGATAATTAGGCCTTACAGTACACCGGCGTGAAACAACCAAAGCGTTATCTATAGTCGCGTGAGTGAGGTTACCTTACCCGAGGCCCAATCCCCCCTCCCCCTTTCCCCAATTATCAAATCCCTAACACCCACAACGTGCTTGTAAGTCCTCAAACTTGAATCATGTCAATTAAAACATCTCTCGTTAAATGTAAAATCTCTCGGTTGTCGCATGCTATTAATTATCGACCCCGGTGTGGCACGAAACTTCTCTAGCACTCTCGAAAAGTTACTTTAGTGTTGTTAATTATTTTTTACTAGCGACCCGCCCCGGCTTCGCACGGGTTCAATATGTATATACATACAAACCTTCCTTAAGAATCACTCTATCTATTAAATAAAACCGTATCAAAATCCGTTGCGTAGTTTTAAAGATCTAAGCATACATACGGACATACAGCGAAAGCGACTTTGTTTTATACTATGTATTGATAACAATTCCAGGTATATAAAGCCCAACACAAGGCGACGGGTCAGCTGGCGGCCGCGAAGATGTGTGTCCTTGACAACGAGGATGACCTGGCAGACTTCACAGTGGAGATAGACATCCTATCCGAATGCCGGCATCCTAACGTCGTGGAGTTACATGAGGCGTACTTTATTGATAATAAGTTATGGGTGAGTTTTGCTTGCAATTATACATCTACCCGGCCCATCTGGGTGAGTTTTGTTCGGTAGTAGTACAGAGCCTACAACTGCACCCGGTACATGGTAATAGGCTCACCCCCTATTACATGGGGCTTATAATATAAAATAGTGAAAAGTGGCTGTTACATTGTACAGTGGCGTAATGTGCACCTCTGCTTACCCCTTTGGAGCTAAAAGGCGTGATGTTATGTCATGCCCTTTTCTGCACTTACTTATTTATTTATACTTTATTGCACACATACAGAATTTTTTTAACAATGTAACACTAATTCGAGTACAATAGGCGGTCTTATCCGAATTTACCTGGGCTCGGTGCAATTTCTTCTTACATATCAACCGACTTCAACTCATATCATATGTGCCAAAACAAGAAGCTAGACAGTAAATGACCCGAGCGTACGGCGCGTCGCGTTCCGCGCGCGCCTCAACGAGCCATCAGACCGCCACAGATGGGGCCCAATAGGGCTGATACCGATTTGGAGTCGCGGAGAACCTAACGGGTTACCGGGGCTACGGTTCGACGTGCATGAGAAGGAACGGGGTAGTTTTTAGTCAGTAAGAGTCTGACACTCCCTCCCGCCGCCGAGACGTGATTCGATGATTTTACCCCGTTAAAAAAAGACAGTAAATGAAAAACGATTTGTATAATATTAATTAATTTATTCTAAATACAATTTCACAAATCTTCCAGATGCTACTAGAATACTGCGACGGTGGCGCCCTCGATTCAGTGATGGCGGAACTGGAGAAGGGTCTGAACGAGATCCAAATAGCGTACGTCTGCAGGGAGATGTGCAAAGGTCTACAGTTCCTGCATTCAAAAAGAGTTATACATAGGGATCTGAAGGCTGGCAACGTCCTGGCTACCATGACCGGTGGTGTGAAGTTGGGTGAGTCTATCTTATTAATATTGTACAGTGAAACCTGGTTAAGTGAGACATCAAGGGACCTGCAATGTCGTTTCACTTATAGAGGTATTCCACTTACCCAGTGTCTCAGATATACAGGTATAAATAAATATCTGTCTCTTTTACAGAGGGTTCCATTAATAGAGGTGGACTTGGAATTACCTTAGGAATTTGTGGGTAGAATAAGAATGAGTAAAAAATGTTATCTCAGTTACAGAGGTTTATGCATATAAAATTTACTCGCTGTCTCAGTTATAGAGGTAACTATGATGATAAATCGAAAGAAAAAATCCCAGATATAGAGGATTACCTCGTCTCACTAACAGAGGTAATTCAGTGCCAAAGTGTTGGGACCTCAGCATGAGTTCCAGTTATGTAGGTTTCTCACTTATCCAGGTCCCACTTAACCATGTTTCACTGTATATGCGAAAGTTTGTGTGTTTGTGTGATACTCAGACGTCACTCAATTTTAAATTGCTCTCAAGAATAGTTGCTAGCTCAAAACTATTATTATAACTATGAAAGCTTCTTTGTTAGGATGTTTGTCTGTCAATCACTTTATTTTATTCATATCAATTTTTCTTATTGTTTGTTTTATTTAAGGACTGTTCTGTTTTTGTTTTTTTTTCTTTTATAATTATTTGAAATGTATAACGCCTTGGTTTTATGACTGTAATGTTATACTATTTAATTGAAATAAATAAATAAATAAATCACGCTGAAACTACTGAACGGATTTTGATGACATTTGGTATACAGGCAGGGTATGGGCTGAGATAGGTGATAGGACTTTTTATCCCGATTAAAAACTCCCAAGGGACTACGCGGGCAATTCACGGATAAAAGCTAGTTTGACCATTATATCTACAACATGTAACGTAATAAACGCACCCCCTCAAACACTCCAATTAGAATATTATGTTATAATCATAATACATACACTAGATTTTTATTTTAACATGTATATGCATCCTTACTGGTATTGTCATAAGGTTTATTTTTCTTTATTTTGTATTGAATGATAGAATTTGTATGAATACAAATAAATGCGATTTTAAAAGTCTTATTGCTTTGATTTACGGTCCATTTCGATTTGTTTTAACAATACAGGGTTAATATGACAATAATTTCCGTAGTTTTAATTATTTTTGGGATAAAAAATTACCTATACTAAAAAATATATAAAACGTTTTCAGGATGTGCGTTATTTAAGTTACATGTTGTATATACTGACCTAGACTAACAAGCTGTATGTCTAGCATGGGACTCACAAAACTAACCTGTGGTCTGACCTCTCGTCCAGTCGTACATAGAGACCTGAAGTATTCGTAGCTTCAAATCTCTGTGTATGATTGGTCGCGAGCGTCGTACGACATCGCCTGTCGTCCGACTATGGATTTTTGGTATGTATTTATGTATATATGTGTCGTAAGGTCATCGTACGCCTCCAGCACGGCTTTGTTTCGAATTTGTCTACCGATAGCCGCAAGCGCGCTTACGGTGTGTCGCTCGCGTGGTGAAAGATTTTTGTAACCATGAGTATTGGCTATGTGCACGACGGTGGCGACGCCTAGCGTTTACAACATATGCGGAAGCTGTCAAATAATAATAATAATAATGTGATTACATTATAATTTTCTTTGCAAATATAAATTAAACCAAAGATTAAAATAGTATTGTTGACATTATTTAAGTGCAATTTATTCAAATTTAAGTTTAACTGTAAAATGATTATAATAATAAACTATTACATATAATATAAGTTTCCAACCACAAACTGAGAAAAAAGGCAATAAATTAGTATTAGCCGAGCATGTAAGAAATGTGGAAGAACTGCATAACGGCCAGAGCTACTTAATACGAGCCATGGTCCATTTCTTTGCTTTGATTTTGTCCTGCAATCAACACATTTGACAGTTGATCATCCGCATTTGTTTCCAATTTGTGCCGTGTTGTGCGCTGCGGTCGTTATCTGTCCGCCACTACTCGCTTTGCACATAGCCAATAGTTAACAATAACCTACCTACGATGTGACGTTGTTTCGCTCGCTCCTGGTGGGCGGTTCGACACCGTCTCGCTGTCGGCGCGTTGTCGGTTCGCTGGCGGTTCGCTGACGTTTCACCGGCGGCTCGCTACCGGTGTGCAGTAAGCACGCGCCTCAACTACAACTCTAGAGGACCGGGCACTAACCACCCGCCTTACGTCCAATTACAATAACCTATCTATCTGTAAATTTGCTTACTAGAGATAGAATTTTGACATGAGCCCCATACAAAAAGTGCCAAAATTCTATCTCTAGTAAGGAAATCTACAGATAGATAGGTTATAGAAATTGGCTGTTAGACTTTTTGTATTGACGTTATGAAATATACCATACGACATACGATTTAAAGTTCATAATTAAATGACAACGTAATTGCTGGGTAGGAGCCGTACCGGAGCCACGCTTGTTAAGTGTGTAATGGCCTTCTATCTTCCTAAATATAGTCAGCACAGCTTTTTAATATGCAGGTAAAACAATAAAGATTGACTCAGTATAAAGAAAGTAGCTTTTATTATAATACCTAAATAATATGCAGTTTTTCACCAAGCCACATCTTCTATAGTTCAGTAAAAATATGTTTGGGTCGCGAACTATACGGTGACGAGTTGCTAGTTTGTTGCACCTGATATAAAAATAGTTTATTTCACGAAACTATGCTAAAATAATGACTAGTGAGAATGGCTATGAATGCACCCGGTTTGCTGTTCGAGTATGCACTGCGTTAGCGACGCACTCAGTGTAGCAGCGTTATATTGCCAAGTTAGCAACCGTGGTCGATTGCAAAATATTGCATCGAACAAAAAGAAAAAGCGCAGTAAGTTTGGAATGAATTCGAAAACAATGTTATTTTTAAATATTTGTAATGTGCGTGTTTAAACTGTCAAACACCAAGCAGTCACCGGTGACCGCAACCTATTGTTCTATAATTGTGTCTATAATGACGGTACTCGACGAGTTTATGTTATGACTTGTATTTTTATACTATGTTTTCTAATATTATTATTTTGTACTCTGTTGTCTAACTTTTTTTATATATGTGTTGGGCCGACGTTTGACCACTAGCTCGCCTTATGACATAACTAGCTGTACTCGCAACTTCGTCTGCGTTTTTCTGAAATAAACGTAGCTTATGTTACTCCTTAGTACATCAGTTACCTGCCAATCACAATCCCGTCAAAATCCGTCCAGCCATTAATGAGATAAGTCGATACAAACAAACAAATAGACACAAAAATTGTAAAAAGTGTTATTTTGGTATATGTATCATATGTATATTCATATGCATGTAGTAATATGCGGTTATATTAATATACAAACAGACATTCCAATTTTATTTATTTGTATAGACGAGTTCATGTATATTACGTTTAATATGTGCACCTCTACCTACCTCCTCGTGGTTTCAAACGCGTGATATTTACGAAATGTTGGATACAATTTGAAAAGGTTCATCCATTTCATTTTATATGATAAGTCTGAATAACTTTCTAAGGTCTTTTCTCGTGTCGGGGAAAGTATTATTGCCTTTTTTAAGTTTATCAATCAAGTGAAAAATTTCAAGTTTATTTTTATGGGATTAGCCGGTAACCTAGCAGACGCATCACCTGATGGTAAGCAATCGGCGACGCTCATGGACACCTGGAACACCAGAGACGTTACAAGTGCGTTACCGGCCTTTTGGGGATCAGGTTTTTGAGGATTGTCGAAGATTTAGGGATTGGGGTGATTAGGGAACTGTGGGGGAGGGTAATTTGTCCTCCGGTAACCTCACTCACACAACGCAAGCGTTGTTTCCAGTCGGTTTTCTGCTCGGCCGTGGTATCACTCCTCGAGCCGACTCATTTGTGTCGAAGCATGGCTCTCCCACACTTGAAATGTGCTACATTAATATGTCTAATAAGTATGTTATAATAATAATTTGTATTTGTTTAATTTTTCAGCTGATTTCGGCGTTTCAGCGAAGAATAAGTCGACGCTACAGAAACACGACACGTTCATAGGGACGCCATATTGGATGGCGCCTGAAGTCGTGTTGTGTGAGACATTCAGAGATCATCCTTATGATTTTAAGGTAATTTTGTTGTTTTTTTGACTTGTGAGTACTATAAAGCTTTTTAAAAGTGTATGGGCCCGCTAGGCATATACATACATCGACGTGCAGGAGAAGGAACGGGGTGGTTTTTAGTCAGTAAGAGTCTGACACTCCCTCCCGCCTCACCCAGGCGGGAGCAGTCATTCGATGATTTTCCCCCCTTAAAAAAAAGGCATATACATGATAACACGAAAACAAAACGACTACAATTGGGTACTTGCCAACTAGTCAAATTCAATACTTTTTTCGAACTGTCAAACACGACAGTTTTCTATGAATCTTGTACGAGATTGTGTATGATGACGTCACGTTTTTTATAACGTCAAACAGCATACTTATGTATTAAAAATTTGCTGATAAAATACTTAATTAAGTTGGTCATAAAATCAATTAATGAAAGTGTGATTTTTTTAAATATTTTATCGTATTGAACGGTCGAAATTATTTTTTATTTTTCATTTCATTTCATATATTCAATAAACAATTTACATTGTATCTGAATGTCTCCATACATTATCATAAATCATTAAGGAAAATACCCAATTGTAAAAACAATGTCATTTTGTCAGCATTTCGGGACCATTCTGTTTACACCCTATATAGTTCAGCAATGTAATCTCATAATATGATATTTTTTTAACCAAACCCCATGCTCACTTCCAGGTGGACATCTGGTCATTAGGTATCACTTTAATAGAGTTCGCCCAAATGGAGCCGCCGAACCATGAGATGACGCCCATGAGAGTGCTACTGAAGATCCAGAAGAGTGAACCGCCCACTCTGGACCAGCCCTCTAAGTGGAGCAAATCGTTCAATGACTTCATATCTAAGGCTCTTGTTAAGGTATGTTAACCCGTTGAAAATTATCCCCTAAATTTGTTCATACAAAAGTAGTCTCTGGACATTGGAAATAAGGTCTATAATGTAGTTAGTGAAGAACGGTCACCGGTGACCGCTTGGATTAAAGAAATAATATTATTTTAAACTGTCAAACACAGCGATGCCACCGGTGACCTCAACCTATTGTTCTTTAATTGTGTTTATAATGACGGTACTCAAAGGGTTGGTAGGTGTATTCTACAGATTTTACGTATATTTTAGGACTGCCTTGTTGGCCGAGTGGTCGCTAGCGCGAATGCCGGGTGTCTCGGGTTCGATTACCCGTTTCTGTCAAAGTATTACTGGGATTTTGCAAAAATTCTCAGCAGTAGCACGGAGTCTAGAAATGTGCCGGATGTGGCAATAGGTTTACCCCCTATTACATGGGACTTATAACATAAATAGTGAAAAGTGGGTGTTACATTGTACAGTGGCATTAAGTGGTGCGGTGGCTGGGCAACCGGCTGCCGTGCAACGTGTCGCGGGTTCGATTCCCGCACGGGACAACACTTTGTGTGATCCACAAATTGTTGTTTCGGGTCTGGGTGTCATTGTGTATGTGAACTTGTATGTTTGTAAACGCACCCACGACACTGGAGAAAATCCTAGTGTGGGGCAACGTTTTTTTGGGCTCGCTGCCATCGCAGCGGTAAGTCCCCTCTTTGAGGAGTGGCTTGAGAGACGCTACGGCGTCCTCACCTACCGCCTGACGCAGGTCCTCACCGGACATGGCAGTTTCGGGAGGTACCTGTGTCTGATGGGGCGGGAGGAAACGCCCGGGTGTCATCAGTGCTAGGACCGCCCTGAGGACACGGTGGAACACACGGTGGGAGAATGCCCTGCGTGGGCTGAGCACCGCCGTGTCCTTAGGGAAGTGATCGGCGATGGCGACCTCTCGCGTCCGGGCCTAGTGCAGGCCATGATGCGGAGCGAGGGGGATTGGGATGCCGTCTCCTCCTTTTGCGAAGCAGTCATGCTAGCTAAGGAGGAGGCGGGACGCGTGAGGCAGCGAAGCGCTGCCTCCTCGCAACCCAGCCATCGCGAAGGACACACCGGGCGTCGGGGATCGCGGGACGATCTCCGGCCACCGTCAGCGCGGGCCTGCGGACGGCGAGCATGGGTGGCTCCCCGTCCGACCAGAAACAGACCCGAGCGTACGGCGCGTCGCGTTCCGCGCGCGCCTCAAAGAGCCATCAGACCACCACAGATGGGGCCCAATAGGGCCGATGCCGATTCGGAGTCGCGGAGAACCTAACGGGTAACCGGGGCTCCGGCTCGACGTGCAGGAGAAGGAACGGGGTGGTTTTTAGTCAGTAAGAGTCTGACACTCCCTCCCGCCTCACCCAGGCGGGAGCAGTCATTCAATGATTTTCCCCACTTAAAAAAAAAAAAAAAAACCCCTTCGGGGTAAAAAAGCGTCATGTCATGTTACGTAGTTCGTCAGTTAGATAATGCAAATTATTTTGTCGTATAAAGTTACAATACTTAGATAAAATGGAGTTAAGTTTAGGAGTGAGCGACCGTCACTAAATACAATATAATATAATTTACTTTAGTAGTAAGAAAAAATACTGTCTAATGTTTTAAATTAATCTACCAGACTAAAATTAGATTAAAATAGAATTAAACTGTTAAACACCGCGAGGACACCGGTGACCGCAACCTATTGTTCTTTAATTGTGTCTATAGTGACAGTACTCAACGAGTTAAGGAGTTATTAGATCCAAAATTTGTTGTTCTGGGTCTGTGTGTAATGCTTATAGGACGAAATAAAATCCTAATGTGTCAATGATTTCTCGTAAATGAAATAAAACAGTTTTTCGATAGCCTAGTGACATCTTTTAACAGAACTGTATCATTGGACGGTAAACCTCACTACCACCAACTAACTATACCTGTATCTTCACCCCACAGGACCCAGAAAAGAGGCCGACAGCCGTAGAATTGTTAAAACATGAGTTTGTCAACGGGAAGCTGGACGCGAAGCCTCTGAGGGACTTACTCTTGGAGTACAGAGCTGAGGTCGTCGAGGAGGAGGTGCTCGATGATGATTCAGAGGTAATTTCTATAGTATTATTTATTTTTTTAAGGGGGGAATATCATCTAATGTCTTCTCCCACCCGGGTGAGGCGGGAGGGAGTGTCAGACTCTTACTGACTAAAAAACACCCCGTTCCTACTCCTGCCCTTCGAGCTGGAGCCCCGATAACCCGTTAAGTTCTGAAATTATCAGAAAATATTATTGCCCAAACATTATAGTATTCACTTGGGAGCATAGAAACGGAAGTAGTTTTCTTTTTCATTTCTTGACAAATATTTTCTGATTGAAGTAGTTAGTTGGTAATATATGTCGTACAAGGCAGTTTAGTTTAGTTACCTTTAATATGAGAGCATTATCATCAACAGATTAGGCATTTATAGAAATGACCAATACTGAGCAAAGGCCTCTTCTCACACGGAGAAGGTTTGAGCATTAATCGCCACGCTTGCTCAATGCAGGTTTTTTTTTTATGGAATAGGAGGCAAACGAGCAGACGGATCACCTGATGGTAAGCGATTACAAACTTATAATTACTTATAATGGCTCCGTTTGTGTGCTTTCAATCCCAAGTGTATATTATACAGTTTTATTAAAAAACAAGTAACATTTTATAATAGAAAAACGTCCTATACATAACTTATTTGCGTATTTAAGCTAAGGATACACTATGGGACAATGTCCCACGACATATATCGGCTACGAACCCAGCCGATTTCGTGCCAAATTATTAGGCGAAAACGCGCGACTTGTGTCTACAGTGACGTTGATATTGCCAGGCATGTCGACCAAAGTCCGGCTTCGTCGCGATACCTACGCTAACCTAACCTAACCCAACGTCGCTGGCGACATAATATCGTACCTCCGGTGCTATAACGTCACTAATGTATTGCGGAGGCCCGCGCGCAACTGAACAATGAAACGTTGTTTTTCCTAGTGCCGTCCAGATTAGCGCCAAAACCGTAACGACAGTAATGCCCTCACAATGTCAGTTTGCTTACTACACAAATGACAATAAATAACGCACCAAGTAAAGAGGTGAATTTGGAGTATTCTTTCATCAGTTAACAAAAATTGTTTTGACAAAAATTGCATAAGTGTCGATATTGCACCGGCGTAGGTGCGATATGTCGCAGGACATTTGTTCCCTAATGTATTGTTGGCTTTAAATGACAAATTGAACAACTATAATGGGGATGTTGACAGGGTATAAAAATTAAAAATATAATTAGTCCGTAAGTTAGGTAATAAAAAAATATTAGACACGTATTTTTTTATTTTGTCGTATAATAAAACAATACTTAGATAAAACGAGTTAAAGTTTAGGAGTGGGGGGTAAAACGTCATTTCTTAGTATAAAATGTACTGAGAAGTGACGTCACGCGACATTTCAAATCAATATATCTTCAAAACTATTCGTTTCCGTGAGAAAATAAAAAATACGTGTCTAATATTTTTAAATAATCTACCAGACGGACATTAAAATAAAAATTAGTCGTCTACCCCATTAACATCACGTAATTTTGCTTATGATTGCACGCTTACTAACACGTTTGTCTCTTGTCGATTCGATCTATATGTATATACACGATATATATCTATGTATTAAATGAATGTATATATAGTCGAAATCGAGGAGAGGCAAGCGAACGAAGGAACAGTACCAGAGAATTGGTTAGTATATAATGTTATTGTATTTATTTTTATTTAACTTTTACAAGGTGTTGTTTTAAAGCCGCGTCATTTTCTAGGAGGTAACTCGGCTATCGATTCTGAGTCCGAATCAATAAAAAAAATTGTAGGTAAATATATAAATATTTTTCATTTTACTATAAATTACGGAAATCCGTAAGTGCGAACTACACGCCGGCGTCTTGTAACTAGCTTTATAACGCGGCTTAACACACACAAACTCAAACACGTAATTGATATTATTCCTATTTCCATAAAACTCCAATAAGAAACATTGCTGTCGCTTATTCTGAAATACTGTCGAACTTAAACGATTTATTATAGCCGTATTTTTAACTATTGGCCCGAAATTTTCTCTTACATTGAACCTTTATGACTTCTGTGACATGCCCCCGAGAAATGTCACGGTTTCAAAATTACACCTTGTATAATACTAACTGTTGCCCGCGACTTTGTTCGCGTAGAATATGATTCCTGTTTCATCCCATGGGAGCATTTAATCGGGATAAAAAGTATTCTATCACCTAAGTCAGCCCATATACCAAATTTCGATTAAAAAAAACAATAATACTTTGCCTGACTCGGGGAATCGAATCCGAGGAGACCCCAGCAGTCAAACTTGCGATCACTCGGCTAACGAGATAGTCGAGGCTTATGTATTGTATTATTTATATTATGTACTATGTATTACCATGTACAATACGTTAATGTGTCGTGTGTATGGTTTACATTGCAATCGAATCGGACGCCCAGCCGCTAGATCGTCCGCCTGCGTCGAAGGTATATTTACTAATACACGTATTTTTATATATATAATGAAAAAAATAAACAATATTTTTATATTATAACTCTCGCAGGCGAAACATACTAAATTAATGAATATGTTTTTCGGCTTACTCACGTAATTATTTGACGGGGAACTCGACTAGTTTCGTGCCATGATAGAGGCTCATATTCATGAGCTGCTATTGAGTAGCCACTCAACTCAACTGAAAAATATAATAATTAATCAACAATATCGTATGTGACAGTGTGAAAATTGGTAGTTTGGTTAATTGATGAAAAACTTGTTCAGCGTTCTATAGGATAATAATGTGATGTATAACTAAAAACCTAACTAATACTATACCGCGACCGCGCACGCTGCTCATGAGAAAGAAGAATGACTGCACGGTTGGTGCGGTGGCTGGGCAACCGGCTGCCGTGCAACGTGTCGCGGGTTCGATTCCCGCACGGAACAACACTTTGTGTGATCCACGAATTGTTGTTTCGGGTCTGGGTGTCATGTGTATGTGAACTTGTATGTTTGTAAACGCACCCACGACACAGGAGATAATCCTAATGTGGGGCAACGTTTTTTTAAAAAAACAAAAAAAACCAAAAATCCCCTCTGTGGTTCGAAACTAGTAGAGCTTTTCTCAGTATATTCACGTGAGTAACCAGCGATTTTTAGTTAATTTAGTATGTCTCACGATAGTTATTATAAAAACACAGAAATGATATGCATCTACGTATATATCGATGTACACAAATCATTTATTTTGGTTGTATAATTTCCTAACATGATTTGTGTTTTAATGGTCTATAAATAATTTACGATACGCAAACAAGAAGATAAAAACTTGGAATTCCTAAGATAATATTATTTTAATTGATGATGTATGTGTGTTCTGTAGGAGCCGCGCAGCTCACATATCCCTATGGAGGAAGATGACTCTACCTCCGTCCGCTCAGCCGACACGCCGGACGTCAAGAGTGAGTATACAACTTTATTTATACAGTTCACATAGGTCTTTTACATCATCGTCGTATTCATAAGGTATGGAAGTCATTGGGAGAGGCCGCATTTACCCTGATACTTGTTAATCGATTTGTTGAGCGTTATTGACAGTTTTCATCTTCTCTAAAGTTAGGAATGTTAATATTTATTTCTGTGCCTTTGTAAAAATAGTGTGGGGGATTGCACTATGTGACGACATAGTTTTTGCCTCAAGGAACTAGGTACCTTTGGGACTTGTCGTTAATAAATTTTCTTTATGACTAAGTTATGCTCTAATAGGGGAGAATGGAAGCATCCTGCCTCATTGGCAGAGTAATGGAAAGCGCGACTGCCGGGCAAGGGGGCAACACAAATGAATTATTGGTAAGAGAAGAATGCAAGTCATATTCTAAATGTACCTACGTTTTTCAGTGTCGGAAGAGCCCACAGCGGGTACGACCCCGGTGGGCACGGCGCGGCGCGCGCCACCATCCCCCGCCGCGCCCCCGTCCCCCGCGGCCGC